ATCTCTCAAATCACAGTGAAGAAAAGTCTGTTTTTTAAATAGGTTTGCAGTGCAGCCAATTCAGAAGTTTAAACTGGTCCTCACACTTCAGAGAGAAAAACTGATCCACAGATTATGGGCTACATAAAATGTGCTCCCCCGCTTCTTTTTGAAACCAATGACATAATGCTCTAGCCTTTTGTAAATGGTCAGGACCACATCTTTATTTGCCTGACAAAGGGTATTAGAGCAAACCTGTGCCTATGTTTGTCCTGTTCCCCCTCACCAAAAGAGGCTTGCGCCAAGTGCTAGACAAACACGGCATCTCAGCCCCTACCTGCAGGGGCAGATTAAGAACAATAAACATCCTGCATGTCTGCAAAACAAAACACAAAAACAAAAAATCACAACTGTGCGATGGGCTCTAAACCAGAGTCGTGATTGACCCCAAGGCGGCAGCCGAGATCCCCTGGCCAGCACGGCCAGGCATTAGCTGCACAGCAGCCCAGCTCCCTGCCTCTGCAGTTGAGTTCACCTGCCCCTAAAGTGTTGCTGCGTTTTCAAGGGAGAAACAGGAGGGCTGCAATATCACCTCGTACCACGAGAGGGTAGCTGTTTTCTGATGGTGAGGGGGGAACAGGCTTTCAGTAGCTTCTGAATTTTTCAGCTTGCAGAGAGATTAGAGACAAAAAAAAGCTAGGAACAAAAAACAAACAAACAAACAAACAAACCAACAACAACAAAAAACTACACACACACTAATAAGCTATTTATGGGCTCATGATGAACTGAATTTCGAAAGAAGTGGTGGACATGCACATAGACTGGGTATAAACACAAAGAAACCTCAGGCATGATTGCTAGATCAGGAATGTGATGGATGTCCCCTTCTCACTCTAATCCGACCCCTTCCCATTATTTATCTTTTTGGTTGTGTAAGTGTGCTTCATGCTGTCAGCAACACTGAATTTTGTTTATTTTTGAAGACAAAAGTATCCTCAAACTACTTACTGGGTAATTTCAAAGGAAGGAATAGAGGGGAAAAGGAATGTTTCTGTAGATATGCTAAGCTGCAAATCTATTCAGGACAGAAATACACACAACATGCTCATTTATTTTCTATTTGCCCTTATTTTTGTATTTTTCTCAAGAAGGCTGAAAGATGAAGCTTGAAAGAACAAGGATTTTTAGTCAAAGTAGGCACTTTACCTGCATCAGAGGAAAGAGGAGTTAACACCATTCTCACTAGTCATTTCTGTCAGAAACTACCTCTTTCTTGCCTCTGCAGTTTTAATCTTCATAGCAGTGTGAAGGCCAATAAACCAAGCCTAAACAAATCCAATATACCTATGTTCTCTCTCATGTTTAAGTACAGAAAATTCAAAGCTCACCTTAATAAGCCCACCCTAACGGAACCTGCACTACTCTATCCTCACCTAGGAGATTCTCATGTGACTCATATTATCACAATAACCAAGATAAATTTATCCCCAGTGACCTTTGAAATTATCATTTTACCCAGACAAAACACAGAGTCCATAAAGAAAAGACCTGTAAAAATATGTAAGCATTTGAGAGCGCATCTGTAAACACCTTGCAGTAGGATCTGTAAGTCCCTCCTGCAGGGCATCAAATTCTGCTCACCTTGCCTCAGGTTCTGCACAAATCCATACTCGATGTCATCCACCAGAGCTCAAGCCAGGCTGGGATGGACAATTTCCAACGTAACTAGCAATGTGCCTAGCTCTTCAATTGCTGCCAACCAAAGCATGGCAGGTCTCTCCCAAGCCTGGCAACTCTTCTTTGCCATCAGTTTCTTTAAGATCAGGCCAGTACCAAGCTTTGGCCAAGGTGTGCACCTGCTTACAATTACTACACAGCTTTACACCTTTACACACAAATCCTGCTTAGTGCGGAAGCCAGGTTGACTAACCTATCCTGTATCTTAGGCATCCAAATGACAGTCCAGAAATCATCTGCCACTCTTCTCCACAGTGCGAGGTACTGTGCATGCACCAAGTAAGGCAACTGGGCACTGTCCCCTTGACTTTCGGGGAATGCCCCATAGTTCATCTCACAGTGAGACTGGAGGCTTCTGGAACAGAGGACCATACCTTTGGGACTGAAGGACAATTATTAGGCTCATTGTCCCTTGGATAAAGCTGCAGAAATGAAGGAATGTAGTGGTCTGACATACCCTTATGAAGACAAAGTTGCTAGGAATGGTCCCTGATTATCTCCCTGACACAGGGAAGGCAGAATGGGTTGCTAGTTATTGCCATCTTCCCAGTGAAAGAACTGAAAAAAAAAGTCTATGAAGAAAAGCTGGGTCTGGGCTGAGAATAGAAGAAAGATATAATGGAATGAAAATGATAATTCAGAAGTCTCTCAAGTGCCCACTTGTTTCTCTAACCATTGCTACCAGATTAGTTATTAATTTAGGAACAGGTCACCCAGTGGAAGTTTCACAACCTCCTAGCTAATAGTGCTACAAACATCCTTATTCATCATCTTGTAATTAACTCAACTTTCATACAGGGAAGAAAAAGTGCACCTTCCATACTGTAGCAATGTAGTATCTGTTGCAAACATAGGTGCTTTTAAACAGCAATGCATCTTGTTTTTGCACAGCACATCTAGTTGATAGTTCAAGTGCTTCTGAAAAAAAAGTCATGACTGGCGGGAAGGAAAAACAGCTGTTGTTCAGCTGAAATGAAAACAAACACAATAAAAAAAAATCAAACACTGATTACCTATATTTCTTCTAAATATAGTATACATTATGACAAGAAGATATAAGACCACTCAAACTGAACACTCAGACCCAGTACCCTTGTAAATATATATAAAACTAAAAAAAGGACATCTCAATTCATGCCATACAAAGGGGTAAAGAAATTAAGATCATTTCAAATAGACTAGTGAGCAATCCAGTGTGTAAAGTTTAAAGCTAACATTTTCAACATTCAGTGCTGAATGTGCACAGAATCCACATATAAACTCTCAAAAGCAGCTTTATTTCCAGCAGAGATGAATCCTTGCAGCCTGTATTGATTTTTCAAGAGCTTCAGGGAATCAGAACCCATTTCCACTAGGTGATGGGGTTTCCTCAAAATACTGCTGGTTTTAGCCAGAAAACATGAATAGGGGCAACTTTCAGTTACATTTGTTCCTGATCTGGAATTGCCACTGCATCGTTTCATGCTTCCCTTGGGAGTCCTCACGCGAGGGCTCCGGACAGAGCGCTCATGCTGGACGGGAACTGCTGCTGCAGAGCAAACTGTACCACAAACCTCTAGCTGCTTCTGCCGAGGGAGGGAAGAGCTGCTGGCCCTCCTGCCAGCACTGCTCCCAAGGCAGGGCAACTTCACACGGCCCTCACCCCAGATCTTGCACATGGGAGGCTCAGAGGAGGGCAGCAGCTCAGACTGGCCGTGTGAGCTCATTGCAGGGAGGCAGTGGACGCTGCTGTAGCTGCTGGAAATAGGAGGCAGCCCAGCCAGAGCAGTTACCTTTAAAGCCAATTCCAGAACTCCAAACCAAAACAAGATGAGTTGTAAAAGGGAGAACTGATACACTTCTATGAAGAGACCCCTGCTACCAACATGAAACATCTTAACTGCAACCCCTGCGAGACACTTAAAAACAGGGCTAAAAAACTGTTCTAAAGTGAATAATGATTAAAAAAAAAAGAGTCTTCCACAGGCTTTTAAAAAGAAAAATACATATATATATCCTCAAATTTACGTCCTTCCTCACCTTGAAACAAAATCTTCAATTTCTTGACCTGATTGCAATAAGGCTAATTTACATCAATCCCAGAACTCATGCCTGACATTGAAAATGTTGGTCTTCACTTCTAGCTGCTCTGCAGCTATTCCCCACAGTATTTATAGCACAGCATTAATAGTATTTCTGTTCTCATTTGCTTATTCTAAGTAACTCAGTATACAATCCAACTTGGACTTCCATGACCTTTGCTACTACTTCTTAATTTGCCACTTCTATTTGTGCACCCAATCCAGAAACCACTGTGGTTCTCCCCGCCTCTCAGCGCACGGTGCACTGCTTGGTATTTACACCTATGTACATATGCACAGCATCCAAGATGCTTTAGTAAGGGTAACAACTAAAAGTATTTTTAGTTGACAACATTTCTTATTCTTATAGCATTATAGCAAGAAGTACTTTATGCAGCTCACTATATCATTGATTTTTTTCAAGAGTTTTTTTAAAGCCTTATATGTCAGTAGAATGGCACAAAAAAGACCAATTTCTAAAAATATTCTAAATGTAAACAGTAGAATTCAGAGGACCAAAGTGACATAACCCTTTGGAAACACCTGTCTATTACCATTAAGTGCTTTAAGAACAATCCACTCGGGCTGTAGGTGTTAGCTGATAGCTCCCACTGCAAAGGGAGAGGCATATGAGATTAACAATACTCAGAGTGAGCATTTTCTTCAAAACTTTGGAAACTAATTTTAAGTCTAAAGCATTTTTGCTGTAGCATTGTGGTTGTCACCCGGTTCTGTTATACCTGTGGTTGTAACATAATGGTTGTCACCTGGAAAGCCTCTCTGAACTGTATGATTTCTTCTGCAGCAAATATGTGTGCTAATGATGTTAAACTATACGATTCCTTTGCTTAAAGATATAAAAGCAAAACAAACAAACAAAAACTGTGGAAAGGTTGCCAGCAAAGCCAAGAGATTTGCCTTCTCACCATGGCTTTCTCAACAGCAGGAGGGCACAACTGACTTGATTCACAAATGGTAGGGTAGAATCTGAGGTCAGGCTTTTTTGTTCGTCTTCTGCTTGGGAAGTCTACAAACAACAGCAAAGAAACTGAAGGTGTTTGTAGACTCAAGAACACAACCAGCATTATTCAGCTTACTTTGGAGAGGTTTTCTTTGCAACTCTGAGGGCAGAGAGCATATCTATATGTACACAGTACAGTAAATATACAAACTCCTGGCACGGGCTCTTTCTTTGGGACTCTTTCTTTTAGCAGTTTCTCATCTGCTAGCAGCAGCTAGTCCCAACTTCTAACCAGCACAGACTAACAATTTATTTGACCTAGAAGTCATTCTGGTAGGTTCTGTTCCCTCTTTTGGGCCATTCTTCCTCCACCCATTTCAGTAGCACCTTCACAACATCGATCCTCTTATAAAATTTACAGAGCTCAATCAGCTGCTCCACAGTCCTGTCGCTATTGCGTAGCAAGAACTCCAAGGTAGGACTTTGTGGCTTCTGTTCAAGGAAACACAACTCATCATAAGTCATCCCCCATTTGCTTGCTAAATTTCTCCAGTTTTTCACTGTTGGGTGGCAGGGATCCAGCTTTAGCCTCACAGTGTACAACAAGTCCTCATCATTGAGCATGTCACTGATGGTCGGTGCACGAAATAAGCACAAGGAGCAGGTGCCATTTTCCTTGCAGGCTTTCTTGAGATCTGCAGTTAGAACCATTACATGGGCAGAAGTTAGGATCTATGTTCATGATGAATCCACAGTAAAAAAAAAAAAAAAAGTTAAAAAGCGCAAAGGGCTGAGGAATATCATGTTTCTGAGAAATATTTCTGAAATGGTCTGAATACTAACATTTTAAAATTAATGTTACAATGTGAATTAGTCATGAAATTAAATTTCCAAGATTTCTCTGAGTCCAAAGGCTATAACCAAAAGGACAATAATTTTGAAAATACATTATTTATCCATATATGTGCTCTAGGTGTCCCTTCTTGAGCAGTGGGGTTGGACTGGATGATCCCTAGAGGTTCCTTCCAACCTCAACCATTCTGTGATTAAAAAAAAAAAAAAAAAAAAAAAAAAAAAAAGCTTGTAACTCATACCACTGTGTGACCTGGGATCCTCCTTTTATTGTTTGTATATGGGAATTCTTTTTTTTCCTGTAAACTGCCATAGTCCCTGGTTATGTCACCAACAACATTATGTGCAAGGGACTTGTATTAAAATGTTAAGAATCTTGTACAGATGTGTTAGAATAAAGGCATAAGCTTCACACTCCTGAGCTGCTGCGTTTCCAAATACATATTTTATATATATTTGCACCAAGAGTATCTTCTGAAAGCTGCAAACACCATTAACATCTAGTCCTTTAAATGACAATGAAGCAAAAGCTAACAACAAAAGTTGTGCCTGTTCTGAGAAGGCTACTTTAAATGCATGCTGTGGAAAGAAACAAAATGCATTCTCCTCCATGTCAGAAAAAAATAAGAATCCCACATTGCTGGGAGTAGGTGGTGATGTGGTCTAAAATCAGCATCAGATATCAGAACTTACCATTTGGAGGTCTCCCACACACAACAATCAGTATCTTACCAGTAGCTCTTAACAGTGCAGTTCTATCAAACTGCTATATATTAATAATCTTAAAGGTATGTAGAAACCAGTGCTGGCTGTGTTTCTCATGAAATAATAAGTAAGGCCTTTAACATTACAATAGTCTAGGGTTCTGCTGCAACATTTTGGCAGTAGACATGACATTAACTAGCCTCTTTATGAAGGGAGGGAGCATTTGACTGTCCAAAAAACAGCAGATAATGGACACGGCCTAGGGGCACTTTCTATGACTTCTGCCCTGCCACCACATTGTCCAGTGAAGTAACTGCTTGGGATGAAACTGTTGAAAAGGGGGATATTGCAAGAAGAGAACTGTATTAATTGTAATATTGATTGAAAAACAACATCAGGAAGCAGTGAGATTGTCAGTGTTGATACAAGGGCTGGATCAGCAGTGGTGTGAAAGACTTGAACTCTAGCTCTGGAAAAGGTCAAATCAGTCAATGCCACCCTCTCCTACAGATAACATCATCTGTTAAGGTTACTGTCAGATTGCATGAAAATTCCAGAAAGATCCTCAGCTACCGGACTTGTTTACTCTGAGTACTGGTTCTCATTAAAGTAACTCAGCAACTTTGCATTCATTGTGGGTTTAATATCTATGGAAAGGATTGAATATTATTATTGTAATGTTGCTCTTCAGCTTGCTTTTTTAGCAGGCTAAAGACAATTTCTGAACTTTTCAACAAGTTAAAACTTGCAGCTAGAAAACTGCTGCCAGCACATAACTTGACATGAATGCTCAGATTCCCTCTATTAAGGGGAAAGCATGCTCTGGTGGCACCTCTGCTCTCCAGTATTCCACAGGCCTTGCAGCTGTTCTAGAGAGAAAGGCGTATTGCCTATTCTGCTCTGCTTGTGCTCCACAAGCTCTTGCTGAAGTGAGGAAAAACCTTGCTTGCTTTAGTCACACAAGAATCTAGCTCTACAAACAAGGCAAAATGAGCCTAATCCAATGAAAGTTCTGGATGAAATCAAAGGGTAGGAGAGCATTCTATCTGAATTTCATCTTATTTTGACTTGCAAGGGTGCCAGAGTTAAGTTTTATCCTCCAATAAAAGCTGGGAAGAGTGCTAAAGAAAACATAGGCCACAATTACAGGTAAACAAAACTAAACCAACCTGCCTCTTGTCCTATATCATGTGCAGACTATCAAGAGCATTATAAAGAATCCTGATTTTCTAAAGTGCCCTCTGTTAAATACTGGTGAGCAAAATTATGACCCACCCACCTAATTGCATGGTCCTAAAGTTACACAATAGGACAAGCTTCTTCATTAGAAGGAAATTCTCAGTTGCTCACTGTTGGATTAACTGGGCTGCGAATCAGCCCCACCAAGCCGGTACCATATGGGATAAGCCCACAGAGCAGCCTCTGCTTTCTACAAGTGCTTTGTATGATCTGCATTATCAGCATGACCTCCTCTATAACAAGGGGGTAGCTCTAAATGGCCCTGGTGAGCAGATAGAGACCATGTGTTGGAAATGAAATGAGCTCACAGGCATTGATTATCCTGACAGTTCTGGGTAATAGCAAACAGCAGTTCTAATAAAGCACTTTCAAAGAAAATCTAGGAATAAAATATGCAGAACAGTAAAGCTGATGTGTTACCTGAAAGTGATTCATCAGTATGGTTGTGTGAGTCTTTATCTTCTGGCTAAAAAGCAGAAAATTAAAAATTAAAACAAAATAGTCAAACATCTGAGTAACTATTTGTCAAATTTAGAAGGGAGAGAAGATTTCTTATAAGAATCTTCAACTACTTGTAAAGTGAGACAGAGAACTTATCTGCTTTGAGAAATTACCATCAATCTGCAGCCTTTCTAAACAGCCTTTTAGCTACTCCTATGACAGAATGGTATTAATGTTTAAAGCAGTTAGTACTGACCTATTCTCTACACTCTTGACTAGTCACCATTATATATAAACTTATTTGGAAAAAGAAATTAAGAAATAAACAGAAAAAAAAAAAGTAGTACACATACTCATGCTTCTCCAGTGAATATAGCAGAGATCTCAGGTCCTTCAACCTTGGGGCTGCTTCCTGAGGAATCCATGCCAGCAAAGTATCTAATGAAAATACCTCCAGACTTTGAGCTCATCTTTACTGTAAAATAAGCCCTGTTTAAGTTACCACAAAACTGCCCTTTTGGTTAAATCTACCAAGCAATGTTTTTGCTGTTAGTGACATGCTAGGGGGTTACATCTTTGGAGTAATTTGATCCTACTCCCTCCTTCTGCTTCCCCACATTTTTCATGTTTGTTTAATTTTCCGTATTTAATTAGTGTTAATTCAATACTGACTGCAGTACTCTGTTTGAAAGATGATAGTCTGGGCACTTATCAATTATTACAAGGTGACCTCCTGGTACAGCTATGAAACACTGCTACTGAACCACAACTGAGTCAATAACTCAGACTGTAAGGGTGAAAATAGCTTAAGATTTTTTTTAAACTAAATGTGCAAAGCTGTTCGACAATTCACGATTTGATTCAAAAGATTTCAAAGGGTTTTATAATGAGATCCCAAATAACTTTGCCTGTAACATGAAAGATTAAGGGACTGTTTCACTGATCTACTTAGTAAAAGAGCTTTTAACAAGCTTCTTTATATACATAGGAAAGATTTCTAAACTATGGCTGGACTTGAACGTTTCTGCTGTCTCCCATTTCACACTTCTGTTTAAAGTACACATTCCCTCCGTAGCTTTTTGCCGGCTAATTAAACCATAATGAAATTGCGTAGCACCTGGAGACTGCAACACACACCATAACATTTCAGTTCTACTGCTATTGAGAGGAGCACCTGAGAACTGGAAGGACAGCACCTTGATCCTAGAACTGCGGGAAGCTGCAGCTGCCCTTACTTTAACTACGTGGGTGTGGAGCCAGGTGAAACAGCTTTCTTCTGGTGGGGATTTAAAGATGAAAGCAGAAGGGGATTCCCTTTAGATAACTGCTGTAAAGCATTGTTCATTTTTGTATTGCATCATTCCTCCAAAACTACCCTAGCAGACCTCGCAGCATCTTGGAGCCTGCGCACGCAGACACCAGCCAGCTGTGCAACATGAAGGACAGTGTAATAACAGACTGCTCCTATCTACACCTGCTGTGCTAAGAAATCTACTACCAGCAATTTAGGGTAAACATGGTGAGCTATCCCAAATTAGTGACTGCCATGAAAGGTAAAGTTTACATGCCATTTCTCTCTTCCCCAAAAACTGCACGATTGTACATCCATCTGCAGTTCTCCTTTTGACTGGTCTGTGCTCGAGAGAGGATGAATACTGCACATGCCGCTTTCTATGGGATAACCCTTCCCTTTATCTTCTTGCTTTTTCATTGGGACCAGATGAGCTTTCTCTGGACAGAAATTTTCAACTTATGGACTTGATGAGCACTGGAACAGGCTGCCCAGAGAGGTTGTGGAGTTTCCTTCTCTGGAGACCTTCCAAACCCACTTGGACGCAGTCCTGTGCCACGTGCTCTAGGTGACCCTGCGTGTGCAGGGGGGTTGGACTAGATGACCTCTAGAGCTCCCTTCCAACCTTAAGCATTCTATGATTCTATGTTCTTGCCGTACTAGTATCGTAAGAAAAATAAAACTGGAATCCTGTTTATAGTAATCCTCTCCATTTCCACTGAATTCTTAAAAAGAGGAGAACAGTATTAAATCCTGAGAAGCAAATCCCTAGAGGGGTAACATACTAGAAGAGCAACTACCCATCACACCTTAGTATCTTCTTGGTTAACTGCGCCTAAGGCCAGTGTTAATATATGCTAAAAACAAACAAACATTTCTTTCACTTGGTCCACAGCTACATGGAGTTAATATGCAGTATTTGCACTAATGCTGACCCAGGCATTGAAAAAAATTTCAGGACATTTAAAACTTGTCTCCGAAAATCTCTTTAAAGAAAAAAAAGAACAACTAACCAAATAAAAAAGAAAAAAGGGGAGAAGTGGGAAGAGGGAGTGGAAACTTTTTTTTTCATTTAGTTTGGAGGTCTGGAGTTAACTACATTGCTGTGCTTTAACAACATCCCTCAGACTTACTGAAGCCATGGGACTTAGAAACACATTTTGAAAACTAACATGCAAATGCCTAAATGCCTTTATGAAATGTCATTATACGCATGTCTTGTCATAAAAAGAACAGGAGTGGCTAGTACTGCAAGTACAATAAATAAATATGACACTTAAGTGGTGGCCACAGGTAGCTTCTGGCCATTTCCTCTAGTTCTAAAGCACCAAAAGTTCCACAGGAACTTAAGGAAAAATTTCTTAACAGTGAGGGTGACAGAGCACTGGAACAGGCTGCCCAGAGAGGTTGTGGAGTCTCCTTCTCTGGAGATCTTCAAAACTCGCTTGGACACAGTCCTGTGCCACGTGCTCTAGGTGACCCTGCGTGTGCAGGGGGGTTGGACTAGATGACCTCTAGAGGTCCCTTCCAACCTTAAGCATTCTATGATCTGTGCTATGCATCTTCTTCCAAAACTGGTATTTTTACCGATCAGTTAATATCCACTTTTATCATGCATTCATGATAAAATCATGAATTCAGATGCCTTCAGGTATATTCAAGATCATTTCCTTGTAATGTAATTGAAATAAGGCAATGTAGTGTTACTACCCTAAAATGCAGCTATTAAGCATATTTTTTGCCTGCAATTAAAATCAAGGCATGTTCTACAAAGTTAACCAAAACTGTAAACCCATGCACAGACTGAAGATAAGCAAAATATTTTCTAGGCCTTTAGATCCATTAACTCCCTTATGCATTGAAATAGCTGCATAGCAGCTCTTTATCACAGCAATTTCAGCAAAAGAGGCATGACTTGGCAGCAAACGCCTTCTGCTTGATGATGGGAATGCTAAGAAGGTTACCCCCATCATCCAAATTAAACCCACGTGTTTGTTTCTGGTAAAATGCAGATGGGACTCTGGCATAAAGAACTCAATTTCATTCTTATCTCTGGACAATGCACATTTCTCTTCTTCGAGCTTTCTGTTCAACCCAAAGAGAATCAATAAATTTGGCAAGCAACATCTGAAAGACGGCAGCTGGGATGCATGGTGGAGAGTCCTTCCACTATGGGAAGACCAGAGTCCCAAAGGCAAAGCAGAACAAACAGCTCCCCAAGGCAAAAAACAACAAGTCCAAAACCTGGGATTCTTCACTCCATTACTTATCCTTTGTCCCGGCTCTATTTTCAGCCAGGAGGAGAACACGTATGCCAAACCTCAAGCCAGTGGCAGCTCTTCAGAGCATCAATCCAAACCCACTTAAACTACAAAATGAATGCTCAGGAATATAACCTTTACTTTGCTTTTCTCCACAGGAGCTTACTCACTGAACCCTGGGGGTGGGGGAAAAAAAAAAAAAAAAAAGCAGCCACCTATTTCTGGTCTATCTTACTGAAACATTCCTTGCTTTCTTGAATCAGTTTGAAGTATTTGCATTTGTTAACAGAGTTAAGCAACAGCAATAACTTAAACTCAGATATGATTTTCCTTACCTGTTGGACTAGGCCAGAATCTGAAGTAAGAGTCCTGATGTTCACAGAAGCAATTTCCAATGTAACTTGATCAGTTAGGTACTCCTCAGCTAAGACAAAAATTGAGACATTGGTCTCCCATCTGAATACAAATGTAAATAGTAAGGCTCTCAAACATACCTCACCAATGTCTAACTCACAACATTTAACTCCATACCAGTCACTAGGAAATATTGGAAATAAAACAAACAAACAAACACTTCTAGAGGTTTTTCTTTTAAAAAAAATGCATTTTTTTTTTTAAAAAAACTGCTACACATTTTTTATGGAAGAGTCATGTTCTTTCATAAATCTGACCATGAGTGGAACCAAGAGAATACTAACCAAGCCAATACAATCAAAGTAGGCTAAAGAATGTCACAAATCTATATAATCCTCTTTTTGCTTTGCTTTTGCATCACACTTACAAAGATCATTATGTACTATACATATGTTTAATTTTTACTTCTGTGAATTAGGCTTACCTTCTTATTTCTCTAATACACGGGGTTTTTTTGGAGGAGGGGAGGTTCTTGACGCACTGAAATAACCCATTCCAAACAGTATGTTTACCACTTGCACTCAACTGAAAAGGGCAAAACTCCCCAGTACAGAGAAACAGCACAAACTCTGTTTACCTTTCGAGCCTCACTTCAGCTATCAAATTAACATATATGAAATGCATAAGCCTCTTGTGAACCTTGTGCAAACAAATTTCATGGTGCATGGTTACCAAGGTCCCCAGTAGCAAACCATTTGCTTTTCCATGGAAAGGCCATGGAACAAGCGCAGGTGATACATGAAGGGGAGCTTAAAAGAGGTTATATTCCACACACGTAGCAGAACACTCCCTGATGGTGACTGTCTTTATAACATTAGTACATTACTACTTGCTGCTGATTTAGCAATAAATAAATAAAAACTCATTAAACAGCTATGATCAGATAACAGAAAGGACACATATACATGTATGTCCTTATCTCACTCAAGGAATTCGTCTGAATCAAATAATTCATCCTTACATTTTGCATAAAAAAGAAAAAAAAAGAAAAAAAAAGAAAAAAAAACAACTTTTTTCCCCTCCCCTTAGAGACCAAGAGAAATCTGTCATTCGCATCTATCAAACTCCACTTAATTTACTGTGTGTCAGATTTGACTGGAAATAGAACTATAATCAAAATATGAGTTAAACATTAAGACTAATCCTGAAAGATTAAAAAAATCCCTCAACTCACCTTCAATTCATAATCAGCAGAGGGTGCTAAGAACTTGAATAAGATAGGTCCTAAAATGGTCTATTAACTAATTGACTAAAAAACAAACAAAAAACATACAACAAAACAGAAAGGCCCTATGTACTTTTTAATCAAATATTAAATCTGAAGCAAACAGAAATTATATTATATAAAATAGGCCTGCAGAGCTATAACATTTTTGTCTCCCAGATTCCTATTTAGAAGTCTCTGTTTTTATAGAAAATAAAATTAATTCCTATTGAGCACACTGAAAGAGCATCTTCTGAGGAACTGTCTAGGACCAATCCAAAGATTCAAAATCCACAGCAGAGGAAGAAATAATTCTAAAAATTGCTGGAAAAAAAAAATCCAGAAATGAACAGAACATAAAGAGGTACTTGCATAACTTCCTACTCTGAAGAGGAAATGCTAAGCTATATTAGTACTTGAATCTTTTTGCTTGTAGCAAGCGGAAGCAGAAAGAAAATTAAGAACAAACCAAGTCTGTTTCCTTTCTACAGAAAGTGCTGAAATTTCCACTTCTTCTCCGCTTTGCTTTTGCAATTAAATTACTTAAAACATGGAATGTCAGACTTCCAGACTTTGAATATATTAACTACTTAGGAATCATCTAATCCATTTAGAGGGAGATCTAGTGTCATGTGTGAAAGATTTAAAAAAAATAAGGCATAAAAAACAATACTACAGAGAAACTTCTGTTTACTAACACTGAAGTTTTGGAGGAACAAACCACCTGCTTGCAGATAAAAAGAAGTTAGCTTATGATTTCTAGTTACTCTTCACCCCTTTTCTACTTCTCTACTGAGCAGGGTCCCAGAGAAGCTGCTTATTCTCTGTGGCTGGCTCCCTTCACAATGTCCCCTCCACCCCACCACCCTCCCCAGGAGCCTCCCTCCTGCCCGTCCTGCCCCTTTCCGGTGTCCCACAGCGCCCCGTGAAGGGGATGTTCACCCCACCCAACCCAACCGCACAGCCCGCGCTCACCCCGCTCACGGAGGGGAGAGGCAGGAACTTGTGCAGAGAGTGCAGGTAAATGGTATTAATAGCTGCCTAGAGTAAGAAACAGCATGAAGAGTTAACTGGTTGTAGTGCTGGGAACGCGATCAGAGGCAAGAGACCTGTAAGGTATTTCTGGATTATATTTCTGATAACCTGCAGGCACTGGTAACCTCTTCAAAGTCACCTTTTAACATTATCGTGTCTCTATCAATCTGTTCTCTGAACTCTGCTTTTTGATGGCACCACCATATTTTCCTTCCGAGGTAAGGAAGCAAGATCTTCTGATGATAGCTGGTTATGCATTCTGCACCAAAACTAAACTTTGCTGGAAAATTTCAGAAGTTATGTATATCAAACTGACCATAAAATACAGAGACACTAGATTTTAAACAAATACCTTGGGGAGAGAAAAAAAGAAAAAAAAAAAAAAAAGTGTTTCAATCTGTTGGAACTCACTAACAGTTCTGCATGTAGCAACATAGATCTATGACACCTGAACTAATACACAGATTCACAGTGCTTACCTTTAGGAGCTCCTGTATCTTGGACAGGGTATTTTTCAGTCTGTCACAGAAAGGAGACACGCATATTTTTGTTATTTTCATTGTAATTGTGCTGAATAAAGAATACACAAAATCTGCATATTTATAGTTGTATCTTTTAAATTGCTACCAGTTGATCTACAATCATATATGAAGTGCTTCTTACACTACTACTACTTTTGGATGTTAAGTGGGCTGATCAGCATTAATATGGGTTGCTGCTCTGCTACAGTGAAACAACTTGCGGGAAGGAGAGGGAAGCAGAGAGACTTCTTGGTAAAGATGTTTTGCACTTAACTAGCAAGATAGCAATCTAAAAAAGATAATGCATATCAAGAGGAACAAAAACGATTTCAAAAGCTCTTTCAACACAGATAAACATTTATTAAAGTGTTACTGCACTGAAGGAAAAATATTTTCCTTTCTGCTTTGAAATTACAAAGCTGATTAAGATGCAAAAGAAAACTATTGAGTTTAAGGAGATAGCTGCTGATTTCCAGGCATCCATGTTACAACTTGCTATTAGACCTCAACATCCATCTCCTTCCCTATTACCCTAGCCTTATGTAAAAGTAAGGCAGGCTTTTACAGAAGCTCTTACCAAACAAACAGACTAAAGATCTTAATTTGCTATGTGCACAGAAAGGTGAAGTTGCACTTTTCTTGAACAGGCACAAAAACTTTTCTCCACCTTTTGAAAGCTCCCTTAGGTATGAGCACAGTTTTAATTTAGTCAATCCACAAAAACAATCACAGAAATCTCTACCTTTTATGACAGCCTGCTAACATAAATGTATGCACACAGGCTGCAAAATGGATCCCAGTGGGAGATCAGTGTTTAAACGACTTACCACATTTTCTAGGCTTCCCCCCCACCACTGGAGTTCTTTTGTAAAACTTCATAATGGAAAGAAAACATCAAAGGAAAGCAACAGCTTGCTCACTTGCCATCCATTAAATAAAACAATATATTTTAATCTGTTTATGTAACTATATTAGACGACAGTCTAATATCCAGGTTGCACAGCATTGTTATTTTCCCCTAGAGCAAACAATCCATGGCAACATTGAAAATGAAAACTCTTAAAAAGACTTTGCAGAATGATATATTCCATTTACCTGATACACATCTTGTCTCAGCGTAAGCCTGGCATGCTTAGTACTCTAAGACACAAGAATCTGTTATAAAGGGTGTGCCAGGAGGCGCAGGAGGACACCATTCGCTCCCTTACTGGGTTCACCCCAAGCCTGTTGCTGGGCACTTGGTTCTGGCTACAGCTTCCTATCACCTTATCCCATCAGTGAAAATAGGCAGAGGAAGGAACAGCAAATGAATACAACTGACATTTTAAGTTCTGTTTTAAGGTGGTTTTCTTATCCCTCCCCAAGCCATACAATCAGAAGCTCTGCACTAGTCTTTTTTCTAATTATTTTGTTTAAAAAAAAAAGAATTACAGTAGTTAATGAGTAAATAATTAGCTAGATGGACCTATTCCTATAGTACAGAATAATCTGTCAAGTAAACATAGTATAGATACATAAATCAAATGCACCATAAAAATACTATAATATTGTAACAAGGGTTCCTTCCCATCTAACACATGGATAGCTTAGTTGATAACATCCGATCCATCTGATGTATGCATATCAGCAACATTATTTCCAGGTTAACTGTGGAAGTTTAATAACTTAAATTTCAGTTGCACAGTTAGATATACATTGAGATATATAGAGAGATATATATGCATGGTCTGGATTAATAACATTATTGAATGTCTTAGCTCAATTCTGAATTACATAACTGTAGAGAGCTATAAAGTCTGTCAGC